GCAGGCTACAGGTCCTTCAGCTGCCCTATGCCACTGCGCGAGAATCCGAAAATAAGAGTCACATATTAATTTACCCGTTCCTGTTAACGATAGCTCACCAACCATGGCAGACCAGCTCATGAGTTCTCTGTCAAAGGTCAAGACTGTTCCCGGATTCCAGGATGCATATGTTGCCTTGGATATGACAGCTATGCAAAGACGCAAGCAGCCGGAAGGTACTTAAACTACCTATCCTCCCTTCAATAATACCACCTCTTGTAACCCGTAGATAACTGTGGTTGTTGACAGTCTAAAGCAATTCAGTGATGCGGAAACATGTCCAAAACTTTTGCGCATTTCTAGAACCACTTTGAGAGGCGCCAATGAAGTTTCAACTATCACAAAACCACCTGGAAACACTGAGGAATCTACGGATCACATGCGACCTATCACCAAAGTGCCTAATTTCTAAGTCCAAACTGGCTGGTAACAACCAACCCCGCAAACCATGTATCCAAACCGCCAACAACGTCATCTCGATTTGCGGCAGCGCAACATTATCCCTTACTGTGATCATAGTCACCCAAACTTCTTCACCCCTGTTACTGAATAGCACCCACAACTTAACTCCACTCATCATCTTGACGCACCTTTCTGTCTCAACAATTTTTCTAGTCAGATGGCTCTTTCAAATGCCGGAGCTTCCTACATGGTCCCCTTTGTTTGGAGCAGATAACAATCTTGCGCGCTCGCACACTGTAATGCACAAAATTATGTGCCTAGTGTATCGGGTGAGCCTGGAACTCCTAGATCCCCACTACACATTCACAGAGGGCCCTCCCGACGCAGGCGCGCATATAGAGACTGACCCTCTAAGACCCTTACACGCCTTCCTCGTATCCACCAACATGACCAGGGTATACTGGGCAGGACCACAACCCTTTCTGTCAACCGAGGCAGATTGTATAATCCTCAACTGTTAGTCCTATATTACCCATAAACTTTCTGCTAAGCTAACCAATTTCTTTAACACCACTGTTAGTGCTCCCGTCCCTAAAACACCGAAACCTTACAAGTGTATAGAGTCAAATGCAGCCCTATGCTTTACCGACTGACTTTCTTTCTCACGCACACCCACTTCTGAAGTAATTTATGAAAATAACGAGCAATCCCTTTCTATTTTCATTCACCAGACTGCTCCTCCTGTTTTTCCTTTCTCGTCTCAGCCTGGTTTACAAAGTCAATCAAACTTAAACTTTAGTCACGGTCGACTGAATCATGATGCTCGGTTAAAATCGCAGTATAATTTCAGTCCAATCACCTTCCCTACTGACTTTTCTCACTCCATATTCTTCGTTGCTATATCTTGGGAGGCTTCTCGCTCTGCGCCAAGCCACTGTGCCTAATGCATCGCTTTAGATGCGCCTATAGGAAATATAGGCCTTCTTATCCATCACCTCCTGAACTGCTCCTCAATTCACGCAATCTCTTCCAACCATGTTCTAGTCCATGCTCGATCCGTCGAAAACAATCTAAATTTCCCTCAAGCGCCCTCTTATATTCGTTGGCCTACCGTTATCGTCCCTATAAGACCTTGATGCTTGCCAAGTGCCACCGACTAGCTACTTTCATATAGGTGGTTACTTACTGCTTCAGAAAAATAAAGACAACAAACGTGGTGCTGGCCACCTCATTTATGTTCAGTCGCACATCACAGCCCCCATACTTGACTAACGTGTTTCAAAGCTGCTAAGGACTCTTTGTGGGTTCAACTCTTCATACAGAACAAACCTGTCCATTTACGGTGTGCATGTCGCGCGCCGTGCGTACACCAAACGTTTGATCGTAGGATATGTATGGAGTTATGCGACCGCCTCCAACTTCTCATGTCATTGCGAAGTTATCTGGGAAAGCTTTAGCACGCCTCACATTCAGTAGGGTCCTTTTTCCGGCTGTAAATGCTATGGTGAATTTTTCGCGGTACCGCGCGCTACGGGTTGCATATAGTACGTTACGCCACTAGCGTGTAACAACAGTATATTGGTCCTAATATTTTTCAGTAAGATCGGACCGTGTGATGTTCGTTTTGATCACAGGTTTCACAGGGTTGAAAACAGCCTCGCGATTAGCTCCTTTTACAGACTGCAAGGGACCTGAATGGTTTGGAAGAGAGGTGAGTAAGTTTGACTCAAAACATCAGAAGATGCCACAAGTTATGAAATTAACAAGAAAATACAACTTTTCAGCATATACAAAGTGTTGAAGTTGCGATCGCTTTTAGCCACACTTTCGTTTCCCACCAATTTGGCACCAAGGTGGCGCAAAATTCCGAATTTTTGTTACAAGCAGTAGACATGTTTCATTCGTCTTCTCAGTGAGTCGTTACGCTAGACAAACGTCTATTTTACCATAAATTCTTATGCTTATAGCTTCGAAGACCAAAAGAACCCACACTGACGGTGCTGAGAATCTGTAGGTTTCCACATAATCATGCAACCTAGGTGAACATCTGCTCAAATGTTATCATTCACAGCAGCATAGGTTTACGCCATCAGAATTGGATATTGTGGTGCAAAAGAACAAACATCTGAAAAAATGCGGGCCAGTGGCGATGGGTTTTCCATACTGCTCACATCAAGGTATGCATCCGCCCTACTGCAACAGCTTCTCTCAGATGGGCCAGAAGCAGCGTAATCTATTCGTCACGTTCGCACTTTGAAAAAGGGGCGCAGACTATGAAAACTCCCCAAGGCTTTCACGGCCGATGATGACCCCTGTTCGCCTTGGCAAATAACAACCGTTCATACCAGTTAGACGGTATTCGCTCAACGACGTTTGGCTCGTGAAGGAGAACTTGCATTCGTTTCCCTAATACCGTCCTAGGACTCACCCGATTGCTTAAGAAACCACCCAGATCCCAAAGTCACTTGGAAATTCCCGGCAGTGTGACTGGCCACTACATCATAACTGACACTTCTGGAGCTTGCAGCCTACTCAACAAGTACTGTGCTCGTGCCTGCGTCATTCATACTACACCCTTATTCGGTGCACATTCTGCCACTTCTAGGTCAACATGCTCCATAGGTATTCCTGTAACTCTTATTTGAGAGGCGATAACTTACGTAGAAACGTAACATAGTTCCGATAGTGGTAATAATTCCTCTGTCATATTCAAACGGCGTGGGCTGATATCCTCTTTCGCCTCTCAAGGTGTTCGCCCATTCCATCCTTACCTCCCACCAAGTCCTGAAAAAACCACCTTTATCTTTCCAAGAAAAAAGCCGGGCTCCAAAGATGTCTCGGACAATTACCATCCTGTTCGCATCCCTGCGGCCATTTCATGAACACTAGAGAAAGGCGCCAGCGACCAAGTTTCAAACTTCTTCCTTACTGAGAGAATTATCGGTCGGCACTAATATGGTTTTCCAAAATCCTGCCAAATTACTTCTTGTCTCCTAGATTTCGCCAACCGATTAACCTTAGGCCGTGGCTGTGAGTGAACTGCGCTAGTCTGATATTTCGGCGACACCAAACCCTCTGACAAAGTCCCTCACTCCCTCTTGATGGAAGGGTTTCATGCTTTTGGTACCCAGAACCCATCACTAGGGTGATCTGAATCTCTTCCGACAGGTCGATCTCAATGTGCCAAGTTCACTTCCATTTACTCCCCTATCCAAAGCATTCACGGTGGCTCTATTCAAGGTGGTGTCCTCAAATGACTTCTGTTCCTGAAATATGTCAATGGCGTATCTACTTGCCGTCGACATTAGAGTCATTCTCATTCGCATATGATCGTAAAGTGACTGGCAGGTTTCTGAAAGGGCTCTAAGCACACCGGATGTCCTCGATATTGAGTACAGCTAATGGGGCCAAAGCGTGGAGCCAACTGTGACAGCTCCAACTCACTCAGGACAAGGGTGGTCGGATGTGCTTTGGGCTCGACTCCCAACTGCAGTCATTACGAGCCTTAAATGTCCAATTCGGTCCAGATGATAGATACCGCATTATTTGGATCGCCAGAAGCTGCTGTACGTCTGGATGATATCTTCGCTGTTGTAGCTTCTCTAACACAGCTTCGGGACTGGAGTGAACACGTGCTACAGCGAAAAAAAGGGAACTGATTTTGTCTCCGCCTTGAAAAATACCATTATTTCCTGCATTCAATAAAACATCCCAGATTTATCTTCGATGCTTCATTCAGGTCACCATCCAGATCCGGAGAACGTCTATATTATACAGCACATGACAGAACCAATAAATGTTTCTTCACTGCGTTCATTCTTTGGACCTACTGCCTATTGCAGCGCGTTTCTTCCACCTGTGCATACAGTTAAGTCACCTTTGAGCGGCCATCGTGGTAAAGATGTTCCAAAATGTGAAATGAATGGTGTGCATCGGCTTTCCGGAAACTGAAGTCCACGTTTTGTTGGCCCACTACAACCCAAGACTGCCAGTCGTTATGGCAGCACTTGTCTCCGGATACAGAGAGGACGCAGCTATATTACATGCTTCCCCAGGTAGGAAGGAAAAAGACGAAATGGATTCATCTCAGTCACTTACTGCTGCAGAAAGCAAATATATAGCCAGTCGGAGTAAGAAGCCCTACCCCTATTCTCTTCTACAAGTCGTTTCCACAACCCCGTCACTGGCGGGAAATCCACACAACTGACGAACCGTGAACTGACCTTTTTTGTATCCAAGTCTTGTGCCCAGGACCACCTCTCAAGCAATCCATAACAATGGGCTTTAGTGCTGTAGGGATACCACGCGAGATCCAGTATTGACCCCATAAATCTGACCAAGCAGATGCTCTTTCCAGCTTAGCAAAACGAATATCCATCGAAGAAGGATACAGTCATAGTAGGCGGTTTTTACAGAAGATCCTGTAGTCCGCTACACAACAGCAGCTATCAGGTCGCCTCCATCCACAGCAAGTGGTATTCAGATAGCCAGGAGAGAGGACAAACAATTGCAGCGGTTGATGCATTTTGTTTTCAATCGTTAGCCGACAGACCTACTTAATGGTAAATGATGACAGTATTTTGCAGACGGGCCGCTTTACGTACTGCGAGTGATTGCGTTAGGTTTGAGGAGGTAGCCATCATCTGTCTATCACTTAAGAAATAGATCCCGTCTCAGCTTCATTCCAGTCATCCAGATATCCAGCAAAAGAAATCGATTATTCATGGCTGCTCTCAATGGCTGTGGATGATCAAACCCGTAAAGTGGTTCGTTTTCATTTAACCTTTGTTGTATGAAATATATCATTATTATTCTGTCGCAGACGATTTGGATGGGCGCACAGAAGGTCAATTAGCGGCCAAATATCACCCACGACCAACACCAACCCCCGTGAATACCCATAAATCACGTTTCCAAACCGATTTCACCGGTCCATATGACAAATATCTTTTTCTCACTATGGTTGTCACCCACTCGAGATGAACAGAAGTCGCTCACTGATATATTCTGCTTCCATGGCCCCCACGAAACTACCGTTTCCAACGCTGGCCCTCAGTTCACACCCACACAGTTCAAAGATTTTTGCTTTTGGCATGTCGTCTAGCACGTTCTATGCTCACCACATTGTTCACAACCCGGCAGCCAAGCAGAACGATTTATGGACGCAATCAAAAAAACTGTGGTCAGGGCGTGGGATAAAGGACTCCCGTAGAAACTAATCACACTTCGCGTTTGTGTGCCGGACAGCACCATTGGATTCACTTCCAGATCGTCGAGATTCATCGGAAGCGCTGACGGAGAGAAGGCTGCGGAAGATATGGGACAGCTCTCTTCGTAAGTCGCCTGCAGCTAAATTGCTGATTGCCGCAAAACTCTTCAGAATTGGTACAGTGGTCCTCACAAAAGACAACATAGCTTGACGCACAAAGTTGAAACGTGATTACTGGGGAACGGGGAGATACCGTGTGTAATATCGCAGTTGGATTGCAGACTTGGAATCGACGCGATAGCCAAATATAATGGCGTGCGTGCATCGAGAAAGACATGGTGGCTGGTGCCTCTAGATATCCTGCTGCTTCCCCTGCTGTTTCTCCTCACACATAAACGAACCGTCGGCATCACCAAATACCCCATGGTTCTCTGGGCTGATGACGCGAGAATCAGGCGAAAAATTCGCGGTGACGAGGATGTGTGTAGGCTTCGAATAGACTTAAACGGGTAACCTAGTCATCGTAGTGGCTGGCGCTTATCAACGCACGTGTGTGAGCATACACAGGGAGTATACAGACAGCAGCGCCTACGACATTAATGAAACTCATTCCTCCTCGTTTTGACCTACGATGACCTAGGAGTCACGGTAAGGGGAGAGTCGAAGACTACAGCAAAGTTTCATGTGCCGGCAGCTCAGGGCTTTAGGACACTGGTATTACTCAGGACCTATACCAACATAAATGGTGATGCGTTCAATGCCCTAAGTACATCTTTAGTGAACTGTTACCAAGAAAACCATCCAAGAGAGGCAAATTCCTGCCTGAAGAGTGTTGCAGACTTCTTGAAGAGAGTTTAGGGTATGATCACTCACATGATCCTTGGTATGACAACCGTAACCTACGAAGAATGACTTCAGAAGCCGAATCTCTTTTCTTCATCCCGTCGCAGGCAAAGGGGAAATCTAATCATGCTACATAGGGTTTTAAGAGGAAATTTTGGAACTAATCTACCTTGTTTTTTCTTTTCCACCAGGTTGGGACACCTCAGGTAGCATAACAGGAGAGTATGGAAGTGAGGGGCGAACGTCATTTTCTCGTAGTTCTTGTTTTCTCATCGGGTTATTCGCTTTCAGGACCGGCTGCCATGAGAAGTGGTGTCTACATTATCAGTCGATTCGCTCTGCAGGAGACAGGAAGCGTGCAGAGCCTACTGTAAAGGGATTAATATAGATACAAATCCTTCGATTCTCAAACTACAAATCTGAATCTGAATTTATCCAGCAACCTCGCCTCCAGGTTCCCTTCTGTTCGCCATTCACAAAAGGTTCGAACGTCTGTCTGGTAGCGAGACAACCGAGGAACCTATCTGCCCCACAGTCCTCGGAAAAATCATACTATCCCCACTAATTTATTCAACACCTAACCGCCTGTTGGGCTAAACAGAGCTACAGAAGGTTAGTGGATAGACCTACTGCATCGGAATCCATCAAAGACCTCTAAGTTTCCGAAAGACCTACAAGAAATCAATTGGTTTACACTAGTTTGTAAAAATAGCCATTGAATATTAGAAACAACGTATGGCCTTTAAAGGTTAGCTGTCAGTTAGCTGGTTTAAAAACTGGAGCAGGTCGGCTTGGGAATAGGTAACGGCTACTTGTCTATCGTATTTTAGTAGTCTTAATTGCATTCTTTTGTTCATTTTTGTCAATGAAGTCACTTTTAATGGCACCTAAGGTGGTTTATAGGCTTAAGCTTTCGACTTGTGACCATCTAGTTCGGATTCCGTGCCTAGGCAAGGAGCAGTGCACCGCTAAAACATCTCTGGACCCTCAGTCTGTCGCTTGTTTAACCTTTGTTGTTGCACCTATATCACGGGACATACTCCAAAAGTAAGTCTAGAATATACCAGGTCAAATAGCAGGCACAACTTCTACTCCCTAAGTCTTGGGACGCTCTCCATGGAGAGGTGGTTCAGGCTACTTCACCTGAATCCTCTAAACGCTGACTTGACACCTACTTATGATCTAGACAAGAAGCCATGCAAAACTAGCTTGCATTTTCATATATCTAAGCTGCCATCTTTTTCTCATATTATTTGGACTTAATAATTACTTAATAATGTATTTTTGAGATGAGTGCGGATTTTTTAATTTAGAAGTAGTATTCATAATGGATTGACATCAGTTGGGGAACCGTTGGAAATCTGGGAGCACTGGACAGCTGTTTCGTCCTAGCCGGGTCGTGGGTGCGTACTGCTGAGGAGTCCCATACCAGGACGAAACAGCTGTCCGGTGCTCCCAGATTTTCAATGGTTCCCCAACTGATATCAGTCCATGATGAATACTACTTCTAAATAACTTAACCAAAGAAACGTGTGGTTCACTGTCTCTACACAAAGAAGCCAGTTAAACTAATCCTGCTACTGTGTTAGCGACTATTCAACTATAGAGTTTTCGGAAATAGGTCACTTGCGTGTACATGGTCATCGGAATTCCGTTACAGCCTAGTTAGTATGTGGTGTATACACTATACAAAGCATGACCTATTGATTGATAGATCTAATCCTCTACCTAAAACACTAGCAGTAAAGTGATCAGGCTTGTATTGCTTAAAAAGTATATATAACACTAATAACTCCACTAGTCATCTAACTAAGCCCACCTAGCCCTTCAACATCTCACAACTGCCTTCTTTTGAGCTATTACTCACTATTTTAGTCTGCCCTCGAACTCCTGTGTACTAATTATACTCATCCTGTCTAGCTTTATTCTCTGTAGGTACTTAAATAGGTAAGTCAAAATGATCCCTTAATTTTCCAAGTAACCCTTAGCTTCATCACAAACCCAATTTAAATACAGACAGAAAACAATTTACCATATCTGGGAGCAAAAAGACAACCCTGCCCAATACAAAAACATAACAGAATAACAAAGGCAAGTTATTAGAAGTAAATATCAGATTTTAAAGCTATCAGTTTCCTGTAGTCGAGCTGTTTGTGTTGGAAACAGTTAAGCTCGTCTCCATGACACGTAACAGCTTCCTAGAGGAGTATGGGTTCAAGAAGTAACTGAATTCAGTCTTATAACAACTATCTTTATAACAAAATGTTTACTATAGAGAGTAATACAGACGTGTCGGTCTGCTGTTGTTGTCAGTGTTAAATGAGGCCCACTCATATTCTCTTGATTTTTGGTACTGCTTAGCTCCCATCAAGCAACTGAAGTATGTCTCCTAGGAATCTTCATGATATCAGCGGTCTTCCTCAACTCCCAATGAATTTGAATGCGTCGATGGGCTATTTAGGAAACTCGACGAAGCCTTATCAACCTTAGTTACTGAAGCACCTCAGTGGTAAAGCATAATTAAGCTCAGACTATCCATTATCCAACTTAATGTCTTTCAGATATAGTAGCCTTACGAAATTAAAAGTATCCATCTCTACATGTCAGAAACTAAAAGAGCTATCTTCAATGAAAGTCAGCCGTTTGCTAGGATACATCCCCATCGACGAATATACGCCATGTAGTGCATCAACACTTCTTAACAAGCAGAGCTACATGTTCCCTCTATTAAATGATCTGTTTCTCACTTATCATCCCAGTCCAGAACCTGAGAGTTTGCTACCTGAGGCTTTTAAGGATGGAAGTAGGAAATTGGTGAATAGAGTGACAAAGGTACTAAGTAGTGTATAGGAGTCAGAGGTTATGCCATCAGACTGGTGTACTTCACTGGTCATCCCAGTTTATAAGAAAAGAAAGAGACTTTCTTGCGATGGCTGTGGACGAATCAGTTTAACTAAATTGGCGTCAAAAATCATACGGTCTATAGTTATCCGGTGGTTAACTGGAGCTGGAGGAAGTCATGTAGGTTTCAGACCTAGACGAGAGAGTGCATTTATCATATTTTTACCCTCCGACAGGTTAAGGAACACAGGTATAATTATTATTATTTATTATTAGTCCCTTGGGTTCCTAGTGGAACATAGGGCTTCAGTAGCACGTCTCCAGTGACCTCTGTTCTCTGAGATCTTTTGAACCTGGTTCCACGACAGCCCACAAGCTCTCATTTCCTCCTCGCACGATCTCCTCCATGCCACCCTCGGCACCGACGTCCAACCCGTCTCTTCCCATGGGGATTTCACTCGAGGGCCTGACGCGTGATGTCCCCAGTCGGCCTTCTCAGTGCATGCCCAATCCATCTCCACTTCCTCCTGCATATTTGTTGGGTGATAGGTTCTTTGTTGGTTCGTTCCCAGAGCTCCTTGTTGCTTATTATTTCTGGCCATCTGACCTTCAGTAGCGAGCTAGCGTAAGCAGTTGTTGATGAGTGTCTGTAGTTTATTGGAAATCCCTTTCGTGACGCGCCAAGTCTCTCAACCATACAGGAGCACTGACTTGACTGAGGTTGGTGTTGAAAATCCGTATCTTGTTCCGCATGCTGAGTGCAGAAGATCTCCACACTGGTTTCAGGCTAATGAACGCCTGTCTTGCTTTTCCGATTCTGACTTTAACATCTTCGTCTGTGCCGCCTGTAGTTGAAACAGTGCTGCCTAGATAGGTGAAGGAGGTTACTTTCTTTAAGTTTCTCCCGTTGATGGTGACTGGAGCTTGTTGTTGTTGGTTGGGTATCTTCATCACCTCTGTCTTCTCTGTATTCACTTGAAGTCCCGTCTTCGCTGCCCTTACTCTTCTGTCAACTTGTTAGTTTTCGCCTGTAGATCTTCAAGTTTATGTGACATCAGGCACAAGTCATCATTGGCGAAATCCAAGTCTTCTAGGTTCTTTTCCGCAGTCCAGCGTATCCCCCTCTTCTCACAGCTCCTCACTGTTTGTTGCATGATCCAGTCTAGTCGACCACAATCAGGAATATCATGGGGGATAGTAGGCAACCTTGTTTCACTCCTGTCTTCACTTCAAAAGCATCACTGAACTTCCCATTGTTAATTACTTGGCATGTGGCATCTTCATATAGTTGTTGAATGAGGTGATAAAGGTTTACGGTACTCCGTAATAATGAGGCAGTTTCCAAATTACTTCTCGGTCGACGCTGTCAAAGGCCTTCTCAAAGTCGATGAAGTTGAGGTGTAGAGTTGACTGCCATTCTATGCTCTGTTCTATGATGATGCGTGGTGTGGCGTTGCAATTTGGTCTGCACATGATTTGTACTTCCTGAAGCTAGCCAGCCTGTTCCGGTCGTAGTTTTGAATCCACTGAATCCTTAAGCCTCTCCAGGATGATGCGGCTTAATATTTTGCCTGCATTGGGTGGACAGGAGAGTGATTCCGCGCCAGTTCTTGCAAACATTGAGGTCTCCCTTCTTCAGCAGTTTGACAAGGTAAACCTTCTTCCAATCAATGGCCAGGTACCTTCTCTTCCTTCCACACCTTCTGCAATAGTGGTGTGGTGTGAACATGTCCGCCGTTGTCTCTGTGTCTGTTCTCAGGGCTTCTGGCGGGATCCCGTCTGGTCCTGCTGCTTTCCTACATTTCAGTAGCTTTATAGCGTTCAAGACTTCCATTTTTGTTGGAGGATTTATGTTCACTTGTAGTTCAGCGGCCGTAGGCGGTATTTGTGGACGAAGTGCAGGTGGTGGTGGTGGTTGATTCAAGAGCTTCTTGAAGTGGTCGGCCCATTGTTTCCTCTGTTTCTCTTCTTTCGTAATTAAATTTCCTCCATCATCTTTTATTGGTTTCATCTGTGTTGGTCTCTTCCTAGATAGCAACCTGATTATTTGATACAATGTCGTCAGGTCTCTCCTACCTGAGGCAGCCTGTTTTGCTTCACTTGCCAGTGTTTCGTAGAAGTGTCTTTTGTCTTTGCGTGCACTCTTCTTCACTTCTTTGTCCAGTGTATTGTTTTATACATTGTGCTCAGTTCCTCTTGTCGTTGAGCATCCTTGCACTGGTTTATCTTCTGCTTCACCATCTTCCTCTTTTCTATCAGCTTCCATGTATCCATTGAGATTTATTCCTTATCTTCTTTCTTCTTCCTTCCTAATACGGCTGTCCAGGTATCTTTCCACATAGCTTTCAAAGACTTCCAGTGTTCTTCCACACAGGTTTCTTCAGGGATGTTGCTCGATATCTCCCATTTTGTCTTGGTGGCTGGCGTGAAGATCTCCTTTGTAGTTTCATCCTTCAGTTTCCGAGTATTGTACTTGAATTGAGGTCTATCATCAGCTTCCTTGAAGGCTTTTAACTTGATTTGGAAGGTTCCTTACACTAGATAGTGGTCTGAACCTACATCTGCTCCTCTTCTTGACCTTGTGTTCAATAGACTGCGTCTCCATTTTCTTGAGATTGAGATAAAGTCGATTTGATTTTTGGTGTGTCAGGTGTCTGTTGAAATCCATGTCGCTCGCTTTGTGGATATCCTTGTGCTTGAACACACTGCCTGACTCCAATCACCAAGTCGTTGAATGCGCAGAATTCTGCAAACAATTCTCCATTCTCGTCCATCACCTCACCGAGCGCTTCTCGACCCATGGTTAGTTCTCTTCCTGTGTTGTCTGCTCCCAGCTTGGCATTCATGTTGCCTATTAGAATTTTGATATCGCCAACTGGAGTGAGGTCTTGTCCAGTGTTGATTGAAGTTGTCTGTAGAATTCCTCCTTTTTCTCTTGCTCTGCATTATTTGTAGGTGCATAGCGTAGCACTGTATGATTATGACCTTCCTTCCTTTTGAGTTGAACCTCGCTGTCATGATCCTGGAGGAGATTGGTTCCCACTGCATGAGAGCCTTCGATGCTCTTGGGGACATCATGATAGCCACTCCCTCATTGTGCTCGTAGTTGTCGTCTGGGTGACAATATCGGAGTAGATTATTGATTCTCCAGTTAACAGTTTGGAGAGTCCACTCCCATTCCATCTGCTTTCGCAAATTCCAAGCACTTCAATGTGATACCTTCTCATCTCTTTTGCAATCTGGGCTGCCTTGCTGGGTTCAAACATGGTGCGGACATTCCATGTCCCCACGTTTACTTTCGCTTTCATCGAGGAAGGGAAGACACATTGGCCAATCGGTTTCCCGATGGCTTTCACCAACTGGCGTCATTTCGCCTCTCCGATTCCAGCGAGGAATTATTTTGTTTTTATTTTTTACATTTTGTTTGTGCTTTGGAGTTTCTTTAGCGGTTAGATTGGTTTTCTGGGGTAGGGTTGCTAGCCGTACACCCAACCTTCCCTCTTTACCCGGGCTTAGGACCGGCTAGTAATGGCGGCCATATTTTTTTACCTGATGGTGTCATTCAGCTCTGTTGACCGTGAGGCTTTTTGGCAGTGTCTGACTGTAAAGGAAAAGCCGAGGTAGTATGTGATGTTATTCTTAGCTCCTTATTCGAACTCATGTATCTGTATAGGGGCATATAGAGAGTTGTCATCTGAATCGACGACAACTAGAGATGGCCGCCAGGGATGCCCGCTGTCACCGATCCTATGTGTTCTCTTCAGATGTATAAATGAACATAAGCTTAGGTACATCTGACTTCAAAGGGACTGGTCTACCACCTGGAGGTCATCTGGTTAACTTGTAGTGAGCAAACGACATTGTCCTGCAAGATGAATTCGATGGTCAAATGCAGTCTTCTGAACGCGTTGAGCAGAAATCTATGTTTAGCTGGCATGCTTTTTGCACCTGCCAAATATAGGATTATGCTTTAGACTGGTAAGTGGTAAAATGTATCGACTACTTCACTTATTTGGGGAGTTGTGGCAGTTCGAACTGACTGGCTACTGATGAAATCTCAACCCGGATACAGAAGACTAGTTTGTCCTTTTCTTATCGTTTCTGGCTCCAGCTGCAAAATATCCGATTATCTATCTAAGAACGAGGATACTGCGCTTCAGTCCGTATTGTCCTTTTTATATCGTTTTGAAAAAATGGCTGTTTAAAGTAGATTATGGATCCGTGGCTCATTGGTTTGGAGAACTGACCTTCGACCAGTGGGTTACAAGTTCGAAACTTGCTCCACCTTCCGAGGTTTGTGCAGCCAGGTAGTATCATTAGCACTCAGTAGGTGCTGCTCATTGCCTACTCCACGAATGTGGATAAGGTTGTTGATTTCGTTTAAAGTAGATATGAAAGGACTACAGGTTTCTGACTATGGGTGTCGTGGTGAGATTCCTCGTGTATAATGAAGTCACAATGTCAAGGTTAGGCGAATGGTAGTAGGCAAGTCGGTCGATGAGATTGTGAAACTTCAACAACTGAGGTGGCTTGGGCGCGTTCATATCTAGCCACTGTCTACCTCGACGTGCAATGCCAGAAGTTGGCTTAGGTTAGAAGAGAGCTCAAGGGGGTGAAACCAAGACGTGGTCCATGAACTCCCTGACTGTTGGTTCGAGCAGTAGAGGGAGATGTACGTCACCTAACTGGAGTCTTCAAGATAATAGGTACCAATGGTTGGGTAATTAGTCACAATGGCATAGATGTACTCACTCTTTAACATCTTCGAAAGTTTGAAAATTTCCACCAACCTTCAACTTCAAATTGTTTTCCCCCCTGTACACCTTTGTCTACTTCAATGTCTGTCTTTTTCTGTCCACTTGTGCTTTGTGTACCACTGTGGCAACTTGAATTGATGCACTTGGCTGTGGGATTCTACGGTGAATTCAGTTATTACTCTGTTTTTTACCTTAACAGTGCTGCAATATGAAAAACCTGTCATTCACTGTGATGGGCATTTCTCGGCCCTAATATTGCACAGTAAACCTACTATTCGATGGACAGTCGGATGTATTAATTCATTCAGACTCTTCACACAGCGTTGAATTAGATTTCGATTTCGAGCGGCTTTACAGAACAGCATTGCGTTTGGCAAAGGTGTGGCTCATTTTCAGTACTAATACACTCAGTTTTCCTACTCATGAAACCGAATACTTGACAATTTTGGCTCCACTTATACTCTGTCTGTTTCCAATGTGTATGGTTGTTCCTCTCTTTTGTTCTACTGGTGTCTATTAGCTTAAGCTGGGTCCTAGGCTTTCTGCCTAACTCCAGAAATTTACTCCCAACTACGAGCTGTTCACCTCACAACAGGTCACTTTGCATAAAAATAGATACTGCGTAGTTGGTTTTCGCTTAATATTCGCCAAGTTCCTTAAGATTGTAAAGATTAGCAGACATTGATTGTTGGATATGGTAACCCAAAGCAGTGCCTGTGCTTAGTGCACAGCAGTTTTGTGAATTCCTTTGAATCTGGCAAATAATATGCAGATAAGTTCTGTATTCATCAATTCATTATACAACTAACGGAATATTTACTACATTTATTTTATGTCGGTTTTATTTTCATTGTAGCCTTCTGTCCGTTCCTCCAGATATATATTATCTACCTAGAATGGTTGAGAGCAGTATTTTTGATGAAATTCCGGAAGAGATAAGTACTCAGTTGGTGTCTTTCTCCGAAGCTACGGATGATGTTGAGCAGCTTGTGAACAAGATTTCTAGCTTCTCTAATACTTCTGATAATCAGGTATAATCATTAAAATTTATCACTCAGGTAATATATTCTCTAGGTCAGTGATTTAGATACAATTAAAAGTGAACTGTCATTGTGTTATGCCTTTAATGCACTCTTCTTCAGTAGGTGGATAAAACATTTATACTATTATTACTCAGTGTATCTTAGATGCAACGGCGTAGAAACTCAAAGCCATCCTATTATGCAGGAATTGGTAAGTTCAATTCTCTTGTTCAATATCTTTCGACTTCCATAATGAACCGAAAAATCCTATCCTTTATTCCTCATTAGATATGAGTTGTGCGGATACTATATAGTGTAAGTTGCCTGCACAATTACTACCAAATAACTCTTCATTAAAATCATTGTTAAAAAATTAGGACAAATGTTACTAAATCGGTTACAGCTTTAACATATGTTCAGAAAGGTGATGTGATGATAATTGTGACTGCGTTTATCCTCACCTTCAGCCCCTCAACCGACAACTGTTACTTCGATGTGGTATTCGAGCTTGTATGTTGCAATTGCCCAACGAGTTACGCTGACCGTAAAACTTGTTCCCTGAGGTCCTACCATAAAAGGTTTGTTGGATAGTGGTAAGAAAAAAAAGCAGTTACTGTTGCATTGTAAATTGCTATGCTGTGATGGGGATCCGAGGGGCGGAGTCGTACTCCTGGCTGAATGGGATGTGACAGCAGTCAGGTGTTCCTCAAGGGTGTGGAGTTGTGGCTCATGGTGTCCAGGTACTTGCTTTCCAACCGATGGGTCGCGGGTTTTCTTCGACCCTACAAAATCCCGGTGCTGGCAGTATAAGTATTCTATCTGAGTTTAAGGCAGTCAAAGTCAAATCTCACGCTTCCAACGAGGCTATCCGTGACTGACCTCAAGCAGATGTTCCTTTAGCTGTATGACCAAGCACCATTATTACTGACACAATTTCTTTCTCAAGCACCTCAAGAAAAAGTAATTTTCCACATTTTCGGTAACCGACAAGTGTCAAACGTCTTCACAACTCCACCACAACTCAGACTTCCTCAGATCATCTTTTACATCCTTACCTTTTAATCTTTCCTCATATCTTGGTCAACATTCCTACCTCATCTGTAATTTGTACTAGCTCTATCACTGATCATCATCAAGATCAACATACGACCAGGCAATACTGCTTAACGGTCCAGACGCCACACCTCATTACAGCACATCAAGTAACAAGGCAATAAGATAATAAAAGAGGAAAGAAAAACCGACTAAAAGAAGAGGAAGTAGAAAGTAATAAAAGGAAAGAAGGAAGAGTGAGAAAATGATGCGATTAAGTAAAGTTGTTAAGATCAGGATAAAGTGTTTACATCTGCGCCACCGACATCGGTTCTGAGCCATATCACTTAGAGTTTCCAACCACTAGTTTCTCTTGTCCCACAGACCCCAACTGGCTAGTCTGCATCACCCTACGTGCCTCAGACGAACGGCTGAGGACTTCATGCATCGATGCACAAGCGTTCCACCAGCATAGCTCGTTGGGTCATCGTGATAAACAAGTCCGACCACCACGTCAAGGTAGCAGCTATCGCTCTTGGTAACGATCCGAGTTCATAGAACAATAGCTTTGGGCTCCTGTAACCCCGCTTCATATTGGGTATCAAGGCCTTCAATATCCACACCCTCCACCGAATTAGCCAACAAGCGTCGGTAGCCAAAACTATGACATCTCGGGACATGGATGTTTGATGTGTTTGTGAGACACCCATATAATACCCAGATTGTGGTTGTTCATTTAATCTCACTGAGCCAGTATGGTGAATCTGCAAAGTTCACTCTTAGAAGTCCTGCGGGTTCGATGGCCAGTTCTTGTGGTCCTGCAGGTGCAGTTATAGCATTAAGTGCCAAGTCAGAAAGTGCACTGCCTGACTGCAGTCCAGTTGATAGTCATCTGTGTGCTGTTCGACTGGGCAGTCTAGCGAGAACTAAAAGGAACTTTGAAACTGGTCGTTGTCGTTTTGTAAACTCTGCTTACGCACCTGTTGACTACAGCTCAGATAGAGTGAATGATAAGTTCTACTGAAAACTGTCTGGCTGTTTTCTGAGAACCAAACGTTCAGATATGGTTGTCATAACAGGTGATTTCAATGCACAATGTCGAGTGTTGAAACGAAACGTATTCATTCAGCTTGTGCACATTCGTGCAATAGTCAGTGAGCCACACCCACTGTGTGACGGCTAGTGATACTACCTGGATGCTCGAGCTTTGGTATGTGGAGCGGGATTCGAACCTGTGAACCCACTTTGTTGGTAGTCGTTTCCCGAAACCACAGAGCCACATCTCCACTAGGTCTAGTGTACTGGGCTACAGTTTATAAAGCTGTGAAGCTTCATTGACTCAGATAGTGGAGATATGTGTTACGTGTGCTTAGTCACCGTCTAATCTGTCACAATATTTGCTGTTGTAAGTTTTAGGTGGATAAAAGTTAGAGGTCACCAAAATAAAACAGCATCAGCCCATGAGATCTATGATTGTTGATCTAAAGTGTCTAGGGGAATGTAGGCCTATTTGTCGGGGTTTCGTGTGACAACCAAAGTCATTGGTTAGAGTCTACAGATGCAATATGACTGTGGATTTATTTTTATTAGTGTACTTGTTTCCATACATTATCTTCATCTTAATTGTCATGCCAAATTTCACTATTGTTTTACCTCTTGGTTGTTCTTAACGGTTTTTTTCACTACTTTTGATTACTTTCTTTCTTATTTCTCAATTGTTGGTCTACTGGTATTAAGATATGACAACTTAGTCCGTTAAGCAGTAATGCTAGGTCCCACGTTAATTCTGATTAGCTCACACTGATTACCAGCTTCTACATCGATTCTTTTATCTCTCTCCATTATACGATGAACGATATACATTATATGAAGTCTCAAAAGGCGGAACAGAGTTTAATCCAGACAACTGACTTGACTAATGAAATACTGAAGTCGATAAACCATATCTCTGTTTTACTAATGAGTCTTTTTAATTTCAGACATACTTTATTATTTACTGGTCATCATTTCCCAAAATATTTAATCTTTTTTCTCTCTTTTAAAGGATCGTGTTATGACAGCATTGAAACGTTGTAGATCTTTAGTAGAAAAAGAAAGTTCATCGCGTCTAAGATTGGATACAGAAGCTACAACAAGGTTTGTTAAACATGCACTATGGAAATCTGCGCATACAAAAACGAAGAAACGTCGTATTGAGTCTTCCTCAGTCACCAATACCTCTCAATAAATAATGTAAATCTTCTCTTAACTTTATTCAGATGTATAAAAATGAATTTCAAGAACATTTGCCAGCGAAAAAACTGTAATTTGCTTATAACTGCACTCTTTTAGTATTATACTAATGTTCTCTTGCTGTTTTTTCTTCTATATGAATCAACATTCCCGTTTATTTGATTGTATACTCAGGAATTAGAATCAAACCTCATGCGTACAACTTTTTCACGCTAACTTTAAACTTGACTTAACAATTTCTTGTCACTTCCGTTATCCCCCAAAAAATGAATGTTAATCGATCTGTTGTTAATTAGCTATAGAAGAGACTTTACAGACAGTATCTGGTTTCATTTAAGCTAATAAATCACTTGTGAAGGAAATCTTTTAGCTCAGTTCTTTCTGAAGTTTTTACTGACGATGTTGTCTAAAATAATGGTGAAAGCTTCACGATTAAACCATCCAGCTCAAAGAACACAACACCATAATAATCAATCCTGTAAGGTACAAATATTCTCTATCACTAAGACATGTGTTGTGCGCACCACACAATATAGTGAAATGTAGACTTCCAGGTAGGATTCTTTCTGTGTGACAACCGAAATTGATGGCTGGAGACCAGGTGATTTGTCTCAGAATTCATTCTAGTGACGCAGACCTATTCAAACTTTGTTTTCATTATAATCATCATAATACATTCTGTTATTTGCTTTGCCCTCTGTTCCTCTTTTCTCATGACTTACCACTAGTTTTGATTTCCTACTTCTTTATTTTTCATCTTTACGGCTTGTATACTCATTTGGGATTTCATAAATTGGGTAGTTATGCATTCGGTACTAAGTGACTTGCACGCAAAGTTATCTGAATTCAGATCAGGTTAGAAGACAGCTAGATGTGGCAGTACAAAAGCATCAAGTTGAAGACACAATGAGATTAGTCTATGAAATGTTTTGACTGTTTATCTGAGATGTATAGGCTTTTCGACTAGGATAAGCGAGGCAAATGGAACGGATGGTTAAAACTGTAGGTGATGTGACTGTAAATCGATTGCACCAGTGCGGATACGTTCATTCTTTATGTACACATAAAGCCCTTTAACTCCTTTCTTGTCCTATGGCTTTCCACAATTTCTGATAGTGTTACTTCCCTCCTTCCTGTTCCACCTTTTTGACTTCCTTCGATATTATCTGTAGTAAATTGATTGAGTAACCAATGATACGGCATATAAGTTCAAGTTGAACTGTTCTCTGAATAGGGGTAATGGTTGGCAAACGTTTCAGTCCTAGGCTGAACACCATCATCGGTGCTTGACAAGAGAGTCAATTAAACTCACTATGCACAGATATTAATAACGTACTAGCTTATATAAGTTCATCTTGCTTGGCTGTTCAATGCATGTGTGAATGTATATTGAGCAACATTGGCTAACAGTTGCCTCCGGTTTTCTCAAATGAGTGTGCAACACTGTCATTAGTTAACTTCATTTGCTTTACTGCAGTATTTCACTTGCTTTTGATGCGCTAATGACAATGTCTGTCATGACATTGAAACGTTTACCAACTAAATCTCAACACACAACCTGAGATACAAATACCTTCTGCCTATATTTGTTTCAATGTCTTCTGTATCACTTCAGCAGAATGGCACATTCGAACTGTTCATTATAAGTTGAAAATGCTACAATTTTTTCTAAATCACTGAAAAGTCATATTCTTCTCAAAGGTGGCAATATTGTTAACAAAATGATTAGAAAAGTATTAAAATGGTTGATGCTTAAGAGGAATCCTTATATCCTTTTGTCATTCAGGCTGACGATGTCTCCACGTCTTATATATATCAGTAAATGAGAGAGAAAATGGCTTTACTGTGCAATGGTAGTGTCCATCCTTGTATAGTGCGTTACATGTCATCTATACATATAAGCTTTTGGAGAGTTTTATTTATCCTCAAGATGACTTTACTGGTGATAACTCAAAATTTCTGTTGTTAGTCGAAATCTAAAGTTTTACATTAAATCTGATTCCATTGTCCTTTTCAAGTATGAAGAAGTTGAACCGTTTTGCACACTGGTAACCTGATAGGAATATTCAGTTGCTGTCAAATGTTGTTTGAACCTGCCAAAGAGGTTCACATGTATATTCTTATCAAAGTGTGGTTGTTCTATCTTGTACATTATCCTACCAAAATTATTTGCATGTTTAAGGAGTAGATTCAGTATGACATCATTGTTTCAGGCGTTGGTTAAAAAAGTTATGATAAAGGAACGTAGTATGCACTTGTAGTGTATATGTGAAGATTTCTCAAAAAAAGACATAATCCCATACTCTTGAAGAATCGGATTTCAGCTCAATATTAAAAACTGATGAGGAGTCGTGTAGTGGATCTACAAACCACTCAGTGATACTTGTGTGTCAATTGACGACGTAAACTGTAGTCAGAATAATTAAAAATTATTCTTTCAAGAGTTAGCAATTCAAGCTAAGTTGACAGTTAGAAGTTAAGAAAGCGAAAATAATTAGTTGCTATCAGGGGGATCCGAGACGTGCATTTCGTTTCGCTTGGGACTCGTCAGCTGGACGTGCCTACTTCGGAGTCCGTGATGCTCGCACTAAGACTCGAAACTCGCTTCCTGGATCCCACTTCTAGCTACTATGCATTATTGGTATGGAAATACCGGCAGTACTGAGGTATCTCCACAAAAGCCCATACAACGATAGTGGCCAATCAGTTCGATTTAATGGGCTGTGAAAATTTACAAGCTAAACAATAACATCAAACCTAAGAAAGTGTATGTCAATAATACCGTTTTATTTAGTTTTTTCAATATATCGCACAGGGAAGAAATATTATTTGCTGGATAAGATTTCGAATAATCAGTCAATATCTAGAATGTGTTAAGGTGACTGTGTTTTTATGACTACAAGTATGAATTGAAAAATTTTACGTTTACGTTAAAAATAGGAAAATAACGATCAAAACTTTAAAAGCTGCAATACGTATGTTACTACTCTAATTCCAGCAAGTAGTATATTTTGTCTTTGTGATTTATTTGAACTTATGAACCACAAATAGTCTTTGCTTTAGTACAACAAGGCTAGTTTAAATTATCAATCATCAATTAAGTTCAAAAATAAATTGATACTGGTTTTTCTTCTAGTAAGACTTCACTTACAAAAAGTACTCAAATCCAAGGTCATATACTTGAATTATGGAATTCATTGGTATCAAATTTTAGAGGAATTCAGATGCCTATTTGAAAATACATTTACAATGAAATCTTCGATTTACCACTCATTTAAAAAGATGAATTTTTCCTGTGTTTCCCATCTGTTTATGAGTGGTTCTTCTTCAGTTTTATAAAGGTTTTGTGGTAAAATTGAATATCGATTGGTGTGATGCAATACCTCTGTGACAACAGATTTTTCCCCTAGATTTCGATAAAATTCAATATCGATGCTGACTTTCATAGCCTTAGTGGATTGGCTAAGCTGAAGGCACACGGTCAGTCACACACATACCATGTGGCATGTCGTCATTTTACCTTACGTTGGTCGTACGCGATCCTCTAGTCAGCATTTTACCACGGTTCATCAAATATACTACTCCACTTAGCTACTCTATTGTGTTGTTACTTGGTTACATTAAGTATGAATAATTAGTAATCAACCTCTGGCTTTATCAAGTTTGCGCATAAATGTTAACAGACAGAAAACCGGAACAATAAAAGAAAATAGTAATGATGAGAACTCGTCAACTGTAAAGAATCCTTTTTAATCGTTTCAATGAATTCAAAATGCTTATAAAAAAATATATTCAACTAGAAAATATGCATTGGTTGAAGTAGAGGATATTTTTTATTGAATTGTCAGAACTGCGTCTTCTTCGTTCTGATTATTGGGGAAGATAATCTTGAACTCTGTTTACATAAGCATCACTTTCAATCTGTGTTGCTACCATGATCTTGGTTTCACAACTATGTAACTTCCCCTCCAATCTACTTCTATTCCCTTTGTTACAATCCCGTCTTCATTCATTCATGTATTTCTTGTGAACAGTGTCTTTGTTCACCTATCCCATCTTTGTAATAAAGAAGGCACTTCTCAGCTCTATTCACTATTCTATGTCTGTATATTTCTGCATTTAATGTTGATTTGCGATCTCATACGTTTTGCTACTTTTATCTTCCATTTCACAGTTCATCACATCTTGTTGGTAACTGACACCAAGATTAGAGTCCGTCATATTTATGAATCGCTATAATCTATATAATTCCGACTTTTCGTGTTGATTAATTGACTGTAAGTATGCTAACAAACATCTTCCTACTTGATTTATGAAAGAAAAAGTGATCGTACACCTGGGTGAGATGCATTACATGTTCGACATAACTGTCGACTTATCAAGCATTCACCAAGTATGAAATCAATTGTCACACAATATTCATCTTTTCCAGTTGATGACAGAAGTCATAGCAAATCAATAAAACCTGTATTATATATTCCAATGAAGTTTATACTAGCAATCTTTTTAGGTTATATAATATTTTCATTGAAAAATAATAAAATAAGCGGGTTGATCTAAGGGAAGCCTGTACACAGTAAGTAACAATCTAAACGAAGAATATTCTTGAGGTGGATGGGGATTTTTTAATTTAGAAGTAGTATTTACCATGGACTGACGTCAGTTGGGTAACCATTGGAAGTCTGGGGGCACTGGACAGCTGTTTCGTCCTAGCATGGGACTCGGCGGTACGTACCCCCGCCCCGGCTAGGGATCGAACTCAGGACCTTCAGGTTTCACGGCGAACGCGTTAACCATTCAGCCACCGGGTCGGTATCTGGTGGTTCACAATTACCAACTTCTGTCAATTCACGACGCAGCGCAACTGTCACCCAAGGTCTTCAGTTAGCAACCACTTCATTTCTGACTGGTTGACCCCACAGGTCACGGCTTCTTCTGAGTTCGATCTCTAGCCGGGTCGTGGGTGCGTACTGCTGAGGAGTCCCATACTGGGACGAAACAGCTGTCCAGTGCTCCCAGATTTTCAATGGTTCCCCAACTGATGTCAGTCCATGATGAATACTACTTCTAAATATTTTGTTCTCATATTAGTTATTTGATATGAGAGAAGCCAGTTTACAGGCATCATCACATTGATATATGTTGGAAAATATACAAGATTTCACGGGACCTGAATGATACGGAAGGGAGGTCATTAAATTCGATTAAAAACATCAGAAGATTCCACAAGTTATGAAATGAACAAGAAGATGCCATTTTTCAGCATATACAAAGTGTTAAAGTTTAGGTCGTTTTCAATCATATTTTCTTTTTCACCATTAGTGGCACCAAGGTCGCGCAAAATTCCGAATTTCCGTTACAAGCATTCGACATGTTTGATTCGTCTTCTCAATAAATAC